AGATGAATTCAGTGAAGCCACAGAAAACTATGGATTCGTTGTGAAATTCTACCTGAGATTAATGATTCCACGATGTCACAGACCTCCGTTTAATTTGCTATAAAAATATTTTTATTATCTCACTTTGAATAAGAATGCTTTTATTTCTTACGTAGCTAAATTGCTCCTTCTCATTAATACATTTCGATTAGTTAAGCTATCCCTCTGCTCATGCAGTTTCTTAGATTTGTTCTCAAGATCAGACATTTGATTTATATTTTTCTATGGTCTTCTTTTCCAAGCTTTATTTCATGTATTCTTACATATAGTTTCTTGTCAATTTTTCAAATGAGCCTGAATGAAAAATATGGTATATATTAGTTACTCTAGAAAATGTAAATAGCAGACCCAAATAGCACTGTCTACCAGCAGACTCTACCCCTAGCTACGTGAGGACTTCATTGAGCACACAGGCCTTGCTACACACCCAGCTTCCCAAGATCTCCTACAGAGCTTCTTTAAGGTAAATAGACTTGGAGAGCCATACCAGCATTTTTTTTTTTTTGTCAATTGTTGGCTGTGCTTGTGTGAATAAATTCTGGTCCATTGATCTGTGTTTTATTATTTTGCCAATACCAGACTGACTTGATTTATCTAGTGTTATAGTAAGTCTTCAAATTGAGTAGGATGAATTCCCAACGTTGTTCTTCTTTCATGTTGTTTGATGACCCAGATCTTTTGATGTTCTGTTTAATATTTAGGTTCATACAGTTTATATCTGAGGGAAAACTCCTGAGATTTGCCTGAAATTGTATTGAATTAACAAGGCAAGTTGGGAATCCATATCTTAGCAATACTGAGTCTTCTAATTCACAAGAATAGGGTGTCCTAATGACACAACCAATCAAGAGAAACTGACACATTCATTGAACTCTCTGCACAAAACGAGATCACACATTCTTTCCAAGTACCCAAGGAATATTTACCAAGTGTTTTTGTCAGATCAGGCTATTACAGCCAAACACCATGAACTGGGTAGTTCATGAACAACAGAAAAGTTCCTCTCACAGACCTAGAGAGTGGGAAGTCCAAGGCCAAAGTGCTGACAGACTCATGCTCTGATTTGTAGATGGCACCTTCTTTAGTAACTTGTCAGGGGTTTGGACTGGGGATGGGAGGTGGAATAGGGGATGACTGTTCATGTGTACTGAACTTGTCCGGGGAGTAAAGAAAGTGTTCTAAATTATATTGCAGTGATGTTAACTCAGTTCTGTGAATATACTAAAAATCATTGTAATGGACATCTTAAATGAGCAAATTTTAGTGTGCAATAAAATATATTTTAATATATTTTTAAAAGAAAATGAAAAGTTACATATTGGGGAAAATAGTTGTTAAGTATGTTTGACAAAGGATTTGTGTTTATATTACATAATTTTTTAGCATTTATTTAGTTAGTGTGTGTGTGTGTGTGTGTGTGTGTGTGTGTGTGGACAAATTTCAGGAGGGGATTCATTCCTTTCACCATGTGGGTCCTGGGTATTGAACTCAGGTTATTAGGCTTCGCAGCAAGCACCTTTACCTGCTAAGCCATCTTACCAGAATTCTTTTAATTTAGTAATAAGAAGATAATCTGATTGATGAATGAATAAAACATTTGAATATCTTTGATGAGCAAAGAATAATTTACTAATGGAGAATAAGATCAATAACATTGACAATTTGGAAAGTAAAAATCAAACCCATAATGAGATAGTATCACACATATTTCAGGATGCTTTATTGAAAAGATTGAAAACATCATGTGTTATTGGGGATGGGGAGAAATTAGAGAATGCCTATGTTGCTGAAGGGAATATAAAATGGTACAATAATTTTTGAAGATAGTTTGTTAAGGCAGCTGAGAGATGGCTCAGTTGTTAAGAGCACTGACTGGTAGAGGACCGATTCCCACATGGTGGCTAACACCCATCTGTAACTCCAGTTCCA